TGTGCGAGTGGAAGGAAATCAGCGGTTGATCACTTAGTCTTTCCACAAAAGCACGCAGCAGGTAGGAGAAGGGAATTGCCTTGGGCGTGGGAGCTTTTGACGGGCTGTGGGCTCTCAGAGAGGGAATAAAGCAAATTTCCGATTTTCGCTAGGCTACTCTCATCCGATTTTGTTTTCGGCGTATCCTGTGCACCCTGTGAAGGTCAAATCCTTACTTCCTTACTTTTTCCGACAAACTCTGTGGAGCGGATCAAGAGATGGGTGGAACAAATTGTATGATTTATATAACACACATTCATATATATATATATGTATTTGTTTGGTTTCCACGTCAGCTGTGTATTTCTTGTGGCGCTGGCACCTGTGGCGTCGCCAGGCGCAGAGGCTCTACGAAACCTACGCAGATCGAGCCCAGTTGCTCCCAACGACATCGGATGTTGCAGCCAGGCGTGGCCCGGTGTTGCCACAGTGTTTGCAAGCCGTTAGCCGTGGGGTTTGCGTTTTGGTGCAGCTTTTGCATGGTGACCACTGGCTGTGAAGGAGCATTCCGGACAGTAGCCTCGATGTGCCTGGGCTAAAGACTCCGATCGAGTTGAGCATGTCAAAGCATCAACCATTTGGTCCTTTGTAGGTTTGGTCATGTATGTCATGTGGCTGAGGCGATTTTCGTGGATGGTTGCCACCTCTATGAGTGTGTGGATTCTGATCTGAGCATATGGTTGCCAAAGCTGGTCCCAGGCGACTTGATGCGAGCACTTACTCAACGGACTCAATGGACATTTCTCACTGTCACTAAGGCGGATTGGTAGCTGGTCATGACTTTTCACCACAGTGGCCAGGAGCATGTGAAGCTTGCATCCGATGAATGAAGCACAGTGCAACATTCTGCAACTCACGAAACACAAGAAATTTGAAGGAGTTGTGAGGGCTGTTCATGAACATCGGATTGATGGGCAGCTTGTGAACCTCGGAATGGACTGGACCTACTGGTGGTGCCTCAGCAAGAATTATGCAACGATGATTAGACTCGATTGGAGGCTGTCAAGGGTTGCGACAGGCCAAGTTGTGAGAAGAATTCATTTGCTCTTTGGGCAACTTGAAAGCTGAGGTACTTGACATGACACGAGGTTGCCTTGCGCTTGTGCTGAGCGCAAAAAGCCGCACGAGCGCTTCTGGAGTCTCCGGCAAAGCAATCAGCAGATATCAAGAAGTTTGCTGAAAATCTGTCTCTGCAGAGAATCTCAGTTCAGTGCAGGTAGCATACCGCATTCCGGGAGCACCCAATGCCGAATGGGCCGTGATCCAAGCTTTGCTAAATGACAACAGCGGTTGTGTGGCCGTGATCCATCCATGTTGGTCCCAGAGAGTTCAGGTTGACATCTACAACAGGCTGTATCGAGAGCGTCCTTCCGGCAAGTTTTGCGCTGCTGTTGGGACTTCTGGACGATTTGCAGATTGTGTAGAACAAGAAGGACTGTCACCATGACTTGGCAGGAATTATTTTTATTGGCAAAGAGATTGATGACAAGCTGGCAAATGAGGTCATTGGAGTTTTGCCATTTTCTTAGCAACTCGTTGGACAGGAACAAATTGTGCAGGGATAGGGACACTTGCCAGTGTTCGGTCAAACGAATCAGGTGCATACGTAGTATATATATTTATATATTATATATATACACTATATACTTACTTCTATTGCAGTCCAACCGTACTGCATGTTGCACCAAGGCTTTACTTGGATTCCGAGGTGCGTTGTGCACCCTGAATTGAGAGAAGGCCTTGTTATCTTGCACACAGGACAGCAACAAGCCGATTTACTTGTACATCAATAGTGCTGGTGGGTCTGTCATTTCTGGCCTCTCCATCTACGACACAATGCAGAAAAGGGCTTAGATACTGGATGCTATCAGTTGCTATCGCCACTGAGACTAATTCTGAACAGTACTGACCTAGGCACATCAAATCGCCTGTGATCACAATCAATGTTGGCTGGGGGTCCTTGGTTTTGAGTTTTGGAAACATGAAGACCTTGCATGACGGTTTTCAGCAATGTCTCGATGATTTAGGTCTTGCTGCCTCGATGGCTTCCTTTCTGTTGGCCGCTGGCGAAAAGGGCAAGCGTCACTTGGCCCATTCACGCCTGCGAGGGATGTATCGATTTTGGTGCGCTGACTTTGAAACCACTCACTGTTGAAGTGAACTCTGTTTGATATTGCTAGGAATGGAGGCGTAGCGTTCTTGCTAGGGACACAACCGCATTTTTCATGGTCCATGTATTTGGAGTTGTGTTTTGTTTGTAGTACAAAGTCCACATTACATGTTTCTTCCGCACTGTGAGAGAGTCAGGAATTGCGCTTCCACATAGTCGTGTTGAGAGCTTAGTTGTGTTGCGGTTTCACTGACAGAAGTTGCGCAGCAAGTCATGTGGTATGCGGCATGTCCGGCTAAGACCATGATCCACCAAGCCATGGGTGGAGCACAGGGTCAGGCAGAAGACATCAAGGTGGGCATACCAGGCTACCAAGATGCCATGCTCGCATAAGGGCCCAGGGCCAGTTTATCGCCCGACAATTTAAACCAGAGTATTGGCCAGAGGATGGATCAAACCAAAATCGTTTTGCCAGGTAGAAGCCCAACAGATTGTGCAAATCCATGAGAACATCGTGCGGTCGGCCACCTGAACCAGCATGATGCAAGTGGCATGAGACCAGTGAAATTCTGTTAAGCCCTCTTACCGAGGATGTATTCGAAAGTGCTTGGTGCTCAGATCCTTTCCATTTCAAATCTTACATATCCTGGCCGGAAGCAGCTGGACATGCATTCGCTTCAGAATTGAGTCCGTTCCCAGCTTGCTTGTGCAATCGCTAGCGATTGGATGATGAGGGACTTGTATTTGTGCGCTCAAAGCCGCTGCCGGCATACAGAAAGTCATTCCCAATCTAGAGTCAACGCAAAAGATCGGAGAAAAAATGACCATGGTAGCGACAGCGGCAGGAGGCTGGCCTTGATATTCTGAATTCTGAAGTCAAGGCTTCTCGTCACCCTACATTCCATGCATTCCCAGACACGTCATTCGGCAAGTCCCTTTCTTTGTTTGATAAGGTTGACAAGCACAGATCACTTGCTCAATGAAAAGCAAACAGTTAACCAAAATCATCGTGTGACCGTGAGTGCTTGCGCTAAACTCAAAAACACGATGTGCGAACTCAGCGACCCTTGTTACTAGTAGCTTCTTGTTACTAGTAGCGATGGCCTCCAACATAATAGCAATGGGCAATGTCTCCACCTAGTAGATCTAGCAGCTTCTGGCTAGCTTGCAGAAGGTTTTTAATCAGTGCAAGTCACAACCGTGGCAGCCTCGATGATCCGAATAATCCTGCACAGACTCCAAGACTGCAAAGACTCGTTCAGATTTTGAGGGGAATGGTGTAAGTGTAGAACTCAACGCGACTACGGTGTTCTATTCCTGCTACAATCAGGTAGCTTCGCTGGACATGGTGCCCGATTGCACATCCCCTGCTTTCCTGAAGGCAAACCTGGTATATTAGCTTTGCCGAGGTCGTGCTCACACATTCGGACACTTCAACCACCCAGATTTCCAGTATTCTAGTGGTTTTACGGTTTTACATCTCTTATGTTATACTTTGTTGGAGGTCAGGTCTGACAGGTCAGGTGGTGTGCCACCCATGGCCTGAGGACGGGCAAAGATGAAGCGACCATTTCGAAGGACCTAATGCGGGACAACTTCATGTCAGCAGAGGAGGTGCGGTTTTACTCCGTACGCACTCCGTATGTTTGTCAAAGGCTTCGCCGAACGCAGAGGGACCATTGGATCTTTGTTCTGTTCTGCCGTTCTGACCATGAAGGCCAAGGAGTACGGCCTGATTGATCAGGTGATGGGCTCTGACTCAGTGGTTGAACCCTGAACATGAGCTGGCAAGGCACCTTTGCAGATTATGCAGTGCACATTCCTGTTTTCTGAAAGGTAATTCAGCTCGCTGACACCTCTGACCTCAAGGCAGCATTTGCACAAGATTTTCTGAACGATACTATTACTTGTTCGCTTATATACATATACTCAGTACTGAAAGATCCTGATTGCAGTGCAATGGCTCACAGACTCACAGATGGATGGAGATGTTTGTCTTCAGGCTGTGGCTGACAAGGTCAGTTCCGAGGCACCGAAGGCAACGGAGCAGGGATGACTCGGAGAGACTCTTCTAACAAAAAATAAGAAGCACAAATGTGTTGTTTTGCCGTTGGTTGATAAGGCCCTCTTTCAAAGGGACCCTATTCAAGGGGCACAAACACCTTCTCATAGATATCTTCAAGCGCAGAAACCTCTTTGAGGGCATGATATGTGCTGTGTCAAAGTGCCTGGGTGCCTGGGATACCTTTACTTCTTGCACAGCCAGGAGTCTGCAGCACCGCCTTCGCCACCACCAGAGGTGCCCGAAAGGACACCTGATGGCGATGAGGACTGAGAGCAGGGTCCTTTCCTAGACAACCTAGATATCGGCACAATCGGCATGTTGATGTTGAGGACGATGTGAAGCCAGTCATGTGAGATGGCTCGGGGGTTTCACAAGCGTCTCTTTGGCAAGTGCAGCAGTGCATCCATCGGAAGCACAGCTGCAGATGTAGGCGTGAGGCAATGAGCAGAATCCTGAACCTACCACAGCAAGCACTCTCACAGATGTGGCAAACAATCGACGCACATTTTCAAGCCACGTGGCTTGGCTTTGAAGGACAAAGGCATAATGAAGACGCCTCCCTCAACAAGTTTGCTCCGCTCACGTACAAGTAGCCAGACATTCTTTGTGTAGTGCCATTAAGCCAACACATGTGAGACTTGAGCAGGAGTGTGCAAAACAAACACTTGAAACACTTCGTTGATTTGTGAGTTGGAATTTGCTGGTCTTGTAGCGATGTTAAAAAAAGACGTTGCCCTTTGAAGTGACTAGCTGCTTGCGTGGCCACATCTCAAGCTGCAGCTCGGCAATCCAGCTTGCAGTTGCACAGTGCATCACTTAGAGCAAGCCACGAGAAAGCATAATAGTTCTTAGTTTTTGCTGACCTCAGGTGCTAAGTCAGGCTCTCACCTTGGGCAGCGCCCAACTCTATGATTTGATGGCTGGCAGACTCTTGGTTTATTTGGTCATGTAGTGCTACTATGTAGTACTACTATTTGTCATAACCAATTTTTGAAATGATCAGATCTGGACAGTGGCGGCTAGTCTCTGTTGTGCTCGAGGACTTCTTCTCCAAGTCACGCTTCTATATTTTTCTCAGTGTGACTAGCTCAGCTCTTTGTCGGGGGTCTGCTGCTGTGCAACAATTTTTCTTGAGGTATTCAACTCAGCCAGTCGAGAATTCTGCTCTTTTGGTCGGTGGACGGCAGCAAAAGGACTCAGGACTTGCAGCTAGCACGATGTTTGGTGCCATTTACAAGTTCACTCGATCGATATTCTTGCAATACATAATTTAAGTCTCCAAGCGACAAATCAGACTTCCGAGAAAGGTCAATCTATGATTCTTGGTAGAGGTAAACTGACACTCCCTGTGAAAGGGCTTCTTAATAGAACTTCTTAGGCATGCTGCTTCTGCTCGGACAAGGCTATAAAGTATATGCATATCATATATGTATATATAAACGTACAATAGAAACTACAGATCTTGATTTTAAGGTTCTTGCTTGCTACCAAATGACAGTGTTCACTGAAGGACACGGTCCGTGCGAACATCCGTCATGTAACATGGTTGCAATGTGCTCCTTGTTTGTTTGCCCTTTGAATTGGGAGAGGAGCAAAGAGATTGATATCTCAAGATGTATCAGAAGAGTTCTGCTGCATCGTCCGGTTCAAACAGTAGAGTTTCCCATTTGAGGTTAAAGACCTTGGAATCGAACATGATGTTGTGACCTCAGCAGGGCCTGTTTGATTAATTCATACAGCAACACACGAAATAGCAAGGCCGCTAGTAGGGGCTCCTGGCCTTACTACTAGGAACAAGAAGCTACTAGGGGCTCCTGGCATCGCTACTAGGAGCAAGGACGCTAGGCTCAATCCAACTCAGAGACCTCGATTTTGTGATCTATGCTGAGGTGATGTTGGCGCACTATCGGGGTTCGCCAGCAGACTGGAATCAGAAATGGTGCCCGATTTGGACCGCTCAGCTTTGGACATTAATATCTAATGTGTCGAACAAGGTACAAGGAGCATGTGCTAAAGTCCATCTCTGGGATGGGCTACAAGTTTCACTTTCTACAGACACTTGGCAGCCTTTCTATGTTTTGGAACGCTGTCTTGATTCTGGTGTAAGATGAGAAGCACGTGTGCAATTGTTTGCAGAAACGCGGGCAAGCTCAAAGAGGAATCTGTCGTTAAACGCCAGGCAAACCATATTGAATAACATTGAAGCTAATAAGCCAAAGTTGTATGCTTCCGCGCCTTGTTCAAAAGTGATTTGTGCTCGGTTTCCGTGCTTGATGAGGAAAGCATACGAGGCAAGGCTATGAGCTAGAACACAGCTAAGACCGTGGTTCTCGTGGCCCTGTCCGTAAAAAGCCTTTTGCTTCCCAAGAGGATCTACTCATCTACTCTCCTGTAGGCTGGGGACTGGGAAAAGCGCTATGAGTTCGTTTGGGCCTTGGACAGTGACATCGACATCTCCAAGGCCCGGCACTCCAGAAATTGCAGAAACTGGAAACTCTACCCGCTACCAGGAGCAAGGACGCTATTAGGGGCTCCAGAGTTTCTGGAAACTCTACTCGGTCTGCCTGCGGACCCGGAGTCTCCCGGAGTCTGGCGTCGTGGAAGGCGGATGTGTCGAACTTTTTGGAGATGGCGCGGCACATGAATTCCGCCATTATCGGTCCCACCTTTGCCAGAGCCTGGATTTGCTTTTTGGTGTTTTTTAACTTCTATAGGAGCAGTCAGTACTTTCAGGATTGTTAGTCGGGGTTGGCACTTGCAGTAAGCTCCTCAAAGCCAAGGTCGAGAAGGAACACATGTCACTTGCAGCCATGCAGGACGCACTTGAAACGATACCCGATACCTGGAGCTTCTAAATCCGAATCAATTCACAATCAGCGGTCTCAAGTGAAAGGGACGACTTGCCAAATTTGAGACTCTGCTCGTGGTGTTGCATTTTCGAAGACGAGTCCTAGACATCGGTGGCCCAAAAACTCAAATAAGTAGGTGCCTACTGAATTACTGAAAGTAAGGGATGAAGTTCGCCACTAGCATCTACTAGCTACTTAAGCTACTACATGTGGACTCAGGATAGCGGTCGCACGAATGATTTCATTCCTAGATTTTTGGGGAATCCTAGCTCCACAGCCCACTCGCATCCGGCAAAAGGATAGTGCTAGGGTGATTCGCCGGGAAGGCAGGGTGACCGGACTGGAGGACTGGAGTATGTCTATTCCTTCGGCAGGACTGGATTTACGCTCAAGTGTTGTGAGGCCACTCTCCCACCAGGCATAGTCGGCATCATCACGGATACCAAGCCAGCGGTCCGTGGTCTCAGGATGATGTTTGCAGTTTGGGTGACTTTCCAGAAGTCGACTTATTCCCCAAACTTACTGTTGGGGTTCTCTATGAAGAAAGAAACTGGACACAGTCCTGAACCTGTCATGGTGTTGTCCTCCGGCCGCGCTGGCGAACCCTGTGTCCTTCTTTTTGTCCTGGTGTCCTCCTGGTGCCCAGTTGCAAAACCTGTGTCCTCCTCGTCCTGCTTGTCCACGTTGTTCCTTTTCTCACCGCCTCGTCCGGGCCTTGTCCCCTGCTTGGCCACGCCGCTCTTTCTTTCTCCAGCGCCTTGTCCGGGTATGTTTTTGCGTGGCTACGAATGCAACCGTGATGCAGCACTTGAAATGTGATATCGCCCTCAGAGTTTATCATGGCATACATCCGAAATCCCATCGTTTTGCACCTACTGTAGTGTTTTCAATCACTTATTGTTTACGTGCAGTTCCCAAACAGCTGGAGGCTATATATAGAGACGCATACTTGTACTTGCAGGCGTTCCCACCAACATTGGAATTCAAGGAGTTGACACCCCAAAATAATACTGACACTGTTTGGGGTCTATGCTGGTTTATATATTATATAACAGGAGACATTGTCGCTCGGAAGCAGCTTCTTGAATCGAGTCATTCAGTGTGTACTTGATGCTGGAGCTATCTCAGTCTTAGCAAACCAACTTGATGGAGTCTGAGATCCAGTTCCTTTCGCAGGTCCCAACAAGATCCAGGAGCCGGATCCAGGTGGATGCTCTACAGAATCAATATGACTCACAAAAGCAAAACTTGAAAGGCATATCATGTCACCTTTTTGAGCAGGTTGCGACTTTCGGCACACAGACTTTGTGGAGCTCACAGCGCCTCTCTTGAAGTCTTCTGTGCTTCTTGGCATCGTTTGGTGCTGCTTCCAAAGTGACTGTAAAGAAGCAGCAGATGGGACGCTAGACCAGAATGGCAACATCAAACAACCAGAATCGGCTTAGCAATGTTTTATGATGAGGGGATCAGTATCTTGCAATCACTCCTTGCAGTCACACTTCCAGGCTAAAGCAGATCCTGGTCGATTGCAAGCACTGCATTCATGAGAGGTCCGATTGGGGCCTTGACATGATGTGCAGCACTCAATAGAGGGAAACTTGGTATGTGAAGAGTTACATGTTACATTAATGTATACTGTAGTCGCCTCTTTTTTTTGGTGAGGTGGTGCAACTACGTCTCTGAGAGGTGTTCGCATTGCATGCGAGTGTGCTCCTACTTGATACCTACCTACAAACAACTTATACTTTCGATTGAATGAGTTTTCTAGCCCAAAAGTCTGGACTCGACCTGTCACGAAAGCATTGGTGTGTCCAGCCAGTTCAACACCGCAGGTTTGGACACGGGTGTGCCCTGGTCGATAAGACTCCAGTTGTCCACCTGGAACCTTGGAAGCGACGCCAGGAAGGTCTATCAATGAATCATTCAACCTATATACTAGCGATGGCCTCCAACCCAAGAGCGATGGCCTCCAACCTAAGAGCGTCCAATGACAAGTGCTCATAGACTCATAGACTCATAGAATTAAGGATTGGGCTTTGGCTCCAATCAGCCCAAGTCCTCAGCTCGCTTCACGATCAGCTCGCTTTAGCTCAGACTTGGTCGCCCAGTCTTGAGTCTTGAGCTGCGAGCTCCTTTCTTTGTGTCGATCCGTTCAGGTCCAGACTTCTATGCGGCCATGCATGCTGTACAGGTGACGGTTTGCTGTTTGAAGTCTGCAAGTCATGGTGTTGATCAGACAAATGAAAAGATACATTTTGTTATGAGTGGCGCGGACATGTGCCTGACAAGAGGCCCGTTACAAGAGATATTGGTCAGAGCATCGAGTTCTGGATTGCAAGCATCAGCAAGGAGGCGACAGAGCGATGTGTTTCCGTGTCTTTGGCGTCCAATGTGGCTGCATGGCAAGGCCTCGTGGAGAACATAGCAGAGGACCGACCGGCAGAGGAATTTGATCCAGAGCTTGTGCATTTGATGCCCGAAGGAAACAATAGCTCCTGCACCAGAGAAGCACAGGAAAAGGAAGCACAAGCAGGTGTCTCCAGCTGTCATTCTGATATATCAAGCTGGCTCATTATGTGCGTTATTCGCTGCAACTTTTCTTCCTTCGTTTGCTAGGCGATCAAGACACGAACGAATCGCGAGCTTGCAAAAGACGAGTACAAACCTTCTGAAGAGTCAGTTAGGATCTTGGAGTTTGGCTGATTTTGACAACATGGTATTTTGGAGTTCGCAGCTACTTTTTTGTGACATTTTTTGATCACCTCTCATTTATATTGTCAGACCATTTAGGACATTCACCGGTATTCACCGCTCCATCGCAGAAGGTTTCAAACTTCGCTATTCACATGCATAGAGCGGAGACTACAGCTGAACCAAGATCTTTGGGTTAGACATGACTAGATAACGCAAAATAAGGAGAACGAGGACGATGAGCCGGACGATGGTTTGGAGGCTGAGCAGGAAGCAGGGAACGAAGAGGAGGACATGTTTTGATGCAAGTCTTGTGCATTGTGGATTCAGAAAGAGTTGTACCAGAAGACCGCAACAAAAACAATAATTATGTTTGCCTTGAAGATCAGTTGTTTCATGATGCCTTGCCCATGTTGAGATAGACAAGAGGAGCATTGTCCAATGGGTGTGTGTTCAGGAGGAAACCGACCAGCAGCCCTCAAACGAACAGACAGACGATGCAGCAAATGCCGAGGAGGTTCGCCCAGTCAGTTGTATTGCTCAGCCCGTGCAGCGGCTTTGTATCGCTTATTGTGTTGCTGTGTCCACTGACATGAATTCAATCCGTGTCAGGATGGAACGGACGAGAATGGCGGGGTGCTCTGAGTTGCTGGATTCTGTAGATGTGAATGCATACACGCACACACACTCATGGATATGCGTACTGACTTGATTGCGGTACCACACGCCGGCCTAGGGTTCCAATTCCTAAGAATACCAGTAGGGAACCAGCGAAACCTGGGGGTCTTCAAACGGAGAGGTGGCCAAAAGGAAAAGGAAGGAACGGCGATCGCGAGTCGGACAGGTTGACGGCGGCTCGTGTACATCTGCGGAAAGTGAACTGAAGCTCTGAACAAAACCGTGTGGTTAGGTTCTTGGCTTAGCCTCGCGCCATGCAGAAAATTGGAAAATGGCAGGTACGCAGTTGGACGTCTCCAACTGTATCACAGGTGACTGATGAGTGTCTTTGTTAGCACCGGTCTCATCAGCACCCCCGGTGTAAAAGAAACAAATGCAAAAGCATCCCTATGACTCCAAGGGTGACACACACACGCCTCCCCGAAGGGAGGCAAGAACCTCTGCGCCTAGTAGTAAGGCCAGGAACCCCTAGAAGCACCAAAGTAGCGTCCTAGTAAGAAGGCCAGGAGCCCCTAGTAGCAACCCACGCTAAGGTCCTGACAGGAGGGAGGGGTAGGGAGAGAAGAGAAAAAGAAAGAGAAGAAAGGAAAGGGGGAGGAAGGTGTTCCCAGCTACGACACAAGCGTCCAGGGACACACCAAAGGAGGAGGGGGAAAAGGGTTCCCAGCTATGACGAAAGCATCCAGGGACACCCAAGGAAGAGGGAAAAGAGAGGGAAGAGAGAAGGAAAGAAAGAGAGAGGGAGAGAGAGGGAGAGGAGAGAAAGGAAGGTGTTCCCAGCTACGAACGATCGTCCAGGGACACACCAAGGAAAGAGAGGGGAGATCCTGAGTATTCCATTCAGGAAAACCCCAGAAAGCAAAGAAAGAAAGGGGAAGGGAAGGGGAAGGAGGGGGGGACTAAGCTCGCGACAGACTCCAATGAGCCTTGAACAGACTTTGGTCGCTGCGACCACGTACGGCTTGCCCGAAGGCTGCCACCTTTGACCGCTACGGTCACGTAAAGGCATGAGCCAACTTGGAATTCCAAAGATGAGACAAAATTGGAGTTCTTGTGGCATGAGCCAGCTACTGTCCGCTGTGGACACGTACATCTCCGGGCAGGGGAGATAACGACGTACACCCGTTCGACGGGTCCACGGGAGGCACTCTGCGGGCTCATCCCGGGTTGGCACGAAGCCAAACACACTCATGGATATGCGTACTGACTTGATTGCGGTGCCACACGCCGGCCTAGGGTTCCAATTCCTAAGAATACCAGTAGGGAA